TCTGTCTCTCTATCTCTCTGTCTGTCTCTCTGTCTGTCTCTCCGTCTCTCTGCGTGTCTCTCTGTCCTGCCTGTCTGTGTCTCTGCTTGTCTCTGTCTGTCTCTGTCTGACTCTGTCTGTCTCTGTCTGTCTCTGTCTGTCTCTGTCTGTCTCTGTCTGTCTGTGTCTGTCTCTGTCTGTCTGTCTGTCTATCAATCTATCTATCTATGTATCTATCGATCTATCTATCTATCTATCTAGCCATCTGTCGAGTCTATCGATCCGTCTATATAAGATCTGCTTATCGGTCGAACTATCTAAGTACCTGTCTATACATACATACATACATACATACGTACATACATACATGCATTCATGCATACATTGCGTGCATACACACCTATATGCACACGTATAAAGTACTGTGCTAAAAGCATACTATATAAGCGATTACCGCACAATACGAGAGAATAGAGCGTAACATAATACGATAAATCATGAGAAATGTAGTACAACAAATAAAATATAACATGATATCAGTAAGAAAATGTACTACAGCATTACATGAAGCAATACAATAAGCAATACAATACAATACAATACAACACAACGCAACACAACACAACATAATACAATATAACTTCACATACTATAACATAAACTTAATGTAATAAAACATAATGAAACCTAGTATAGCATTCGTATAGCATCACCAAGTGAAACTGAATGCGATGAACTGTAATATAAAGATGACATACAATATAACATAATACAATTCATAGTGATTATGTGATAAAAATATGGCATGAAGTGAGAATCATAAGAGTAAGATAACAAAACCGTATGTTAAAAAAAAACACAACACGCTTTGGTAAATTATACTAAGCTACTATACTCTGACCACTGATACGATACGACGCGTTACAATAACATAAATTATAATATGACATAATGTAATCTCTTCTGGTGTAATGACATATAGCATAAAAACCTAATGAAATATTTCAGAAGATGATAAAACACACCATAATAAAACCTTACACTGTACAAGATGCTATAACATACAAAACCTATTTCAATAGAATACAGATATATAAGGCGAAATTTCATATAAGTGTCAAGTATACCACATACAGGTACAACAAACAGTATATACTATATAATTATAAGTAGGTATGCTGTTTGCGTGCTGAATCCTTGTGCTTGAGGAAGAGGACATCTTGCAGATGAGGCGTCAGCGAATCGCACATGATGTAGATGGTCAACAGGATAAGTCCTTGCACATGCTCAAGCCCAGCCCGCCCTGCCCTGTCACAATCTATCTAAAGTCTTGAAATTGCTCCTGCAGTTCAAACTCAGTTGGCTGACAATTGAGGTCGACCGCTTCTGGACTTTGGACGCTGGACCTGTTTGGACTTGGATCTGCACAAAAGATGTTGCGAGTATGCGACTTAGGGACGGCGTGAGGCCTAATGTTGTTCCTAATTGTCGCATTTGTTGACTATTTTCCCCTGTTGCAAAAAGTGCCTCAAGCAAACCCGCGCACACGACTTCCAGTCCTGTGGATGTTGTGCTGCTGTCGAAGGCAGTCTCGCTTTCGTGGCCAAAGACGAAGCAGGATGCCGTCAACACGATGCACTCTGCATAGTCAGTCAGAGAGTGAAGCTTCCCTCGCAAAGAGCTTATTATGACCTTGATCGCAAGCGCTGCTTACAAGGCATCACAAGCCACATGTCCCACATGTCCCATCCAAAGCGAAAGGCAGACAAGTGGCTACTGGAAGAATTTTGGTACTCTTGGCTGTCGTTTGCAATCCAAATGAAATGTAGGAAAGACCTCAGAGATGAAACACCACGCTCGGTCCAGCTTGTCCCGACTCGACACACCATGCGCGGCAGCTCAACAGGTCTCAGCTGGGGCTCAGACTAGAGTATTGACACCACGAAGCCAGGCTGTTGCTCACCTGACAATCTGCACATAGCGCGGCGACCCGGCCGGGAGAACCGAATCTCAAGCCGGATCAAAGTTAAAGAAGACCTTCTTCGAAGGCTTCTACGTAAAGGCAGCCAACGCAAATGGTGGGTGCCAACACTTCTCTGACTCCCCGTGGTACCGTAACCGTCTGCTGAGCTCCTTCCCTCCGCGTCCCTGTGCAATACATGCTTTGGCGCTCCAGAGGAAGCCTCGCGGCTCATTTCTTCTACAGTCGAGCAGCCGCTGGTGGCAACGAGTCGATACAGCCATCAAAGAATAGCTGCTTTTGCCGAATGGTGAGGATCAGAGCTGAGAAGATGGCCGCTGATGCTCCTGAGCACATGCATGCGTGCCCGGGTATATGAATAGGTTGGGAGAATAAACTGAAAATAATTGAAGGCCGTTCTTGGGAAAGAAAAAGCAATCATCCATGCAGTGACAGGCTTCGATTGCACAGCACCAGGAACAATGCACTGGGAATCTGCAGATTGTCGCCATTTCTTCCAACGTACACATTGGTCATGATGAACTCCTCCATCCGCAACGATCCACGCAATCAAACAAAGGAATCTCTTCTGGTTGGATCTTTGTAAGCTGATCTGGCTGGGCTCAAGGTGCAACTTCAGCATTGCTCAATTTCCGGTGCAACGGGAGGGTCTCTTCACAAGCGGGCCCAGGCACATGGACGCAACGGGCCCGACCACACAAGGCTGGGACTGAAGATAACGTCCGCTGAATGGTCTCTTGCCATGGCTGGCCCAAACCCCCAAAGGAGCCCCAACCTGCATCCCAAGCAGTCCTGCGCGATCCCCCAAAGGATCATGCTAGTGTTCAAGGCCTCGGCTGCTGTCCCGGGCCCTTGCTCGCTTCAGACTCGGCATGTAACTCTCCAATGCCAAGATTTCGCTGTGGCTATCACTCTTCCGACAGCATGACCTGTACCGCCAATACGAAGTCTTTATGATGATGATGATTGTCACTGTGCTTGCAGAAAATCTCTCAACAAGGCCAGGCCGACACAAAAAGATTGTACACAGCAGACCGAGCCTCCACTTAGCAGTGTCTAACTTGTGACGATGTGACCATGAGCGGAAAGTCATAAAAAGGACATAAAGGAACAGTAGTGATAACTGGAAGCCGTTCTCCAAGGCACCAGGAAACAGAAGCAAAGCCTCTTCAGGTTCGCTGGTGAGTAGAACATCTCCATTTCGGCAGCATCTGCCTTCATAGAGTTGCATGGAAGCACAGCTTTCGCACAGTCTTGCCAGGACTGGCGCCCGATAAGCTGAGCAAGCACAAAATTCTGAGCAGAAGGCTGCTTGACATGCATCGGTGCAGAGGCCAGTGGAGGTCAGCACCGATTCCTGAACCCTCTCAGATCTACCTTACGCCATCAAGATTCCTACGCACTCAAAATAAACCAGCGGAGTCCAAAAACATAACTCTCTTAGCCTCAGCTCGTGCAGCTGCGGAATCATCAGGAGTCGAAGGCTTCATGCCTCGGCCGGATCTGCGCAGGCGCAAAGTCAGTGGATCGAGTCTGCAAGTGTCCGAAACACTAGTTACTAGTTTAAGAAATTGTCAGCGTCGACCTTTGCATAGTTGGAGCCTCTAGCTGATTGCTGGAGATGGGGTTTCCACATGCAATTGGGAGTGACTGAATAAGCCGGGATCTGCATGAACCGAAGCGAAACCATGAAAGTCGAAATCACGAAGCCACAATGCTCACCGAAGACCACACCATCCCCACTTGAACACGCACCGCAAAGGGTAGGGCACCACTTTCGCAGTTGAAGGTTTACAGAGGGCGAATCAACATACATCACAAGCACACACCCAGGCGTACACGCAAAAGCAGCGTTGAGTCAAGTGAGCATGCTGAAACCATAAAGGACTAACCTCAAACAAGCATAGACGTACAAGTACCTGGAGAGTGACTACCGTATGTTTAAGAGGTCAGCCGGCAAATCCCCTTTCCGATGAAAGCAACGCCAGAAGTGCCAAACAAAGAAATTCATGGATAAACAGAACATCAACGAAAATGTGCCTGCGGAGAACCAATGCAAAGCGACGTGCCTGAAGGCGAATGTATGTGCATGTATGCACCTGTAAGGCAAGCAAGAGAAAGCTGGCATGTATGTGTGTGTAAGCATGTTATACGTGTGCATGTCTATGTCATTCTATGTCTGTATGTATGTGTGTATGTACGT